GTGGCTTTGGGCGGCTGAATCCTGTTCGGATTCATCCCCGTTAGGCCGAGTCTTACGTCGTGATTATTTCGAGATTTGTTTTCGGAGTGGGGGTCCTTTTCTCTGCCCAAATAATTATTTTAGCGTCTTACGCGGAGGAATTCGGCCAATTCCAAACGCCCAAATTCCAAGTCGCCGAATATTTTCTAGGATCCCAGCTGCCGCGTTGGAAAAAAGGCCCATTTTCCAAACCGGATCGGTTGATAATTTCCAGTTTGGAATTGGAGGGGGTCACCCCCTGGTCACACCCCGATCGTGCCAGAACGAGGAACTACACCGTCTGCTGGCCAAACAGAGGCCAGTATCATGAGGTCATGCACAAACCCTCTGCAGGTATCTAAAATTCAGGGCGTTCTGCGTCGTCTTGACCGCACACGAGCCGACAACGTCAACCCTGCCACATTGCTCTGCTGACGTTCTTGCCTTTGGGCCGAAAAGAGCCATTTTTGTGCTGCTGCATGTGTGACCAGTCAAAACGCACGCCAGAGAGAGGCTTTACGCCGTCGACATCCACACACTGCAGCCAGTGGCGTGTGATCATATACATACCCTCTGCTCGCGTCCCAGAAACAGATCGTATTGTCCAGTTCTGATTGCACACGGCCTGTAAACGTGAACCGAAGTGTGTTGCGGTGTTGACTTTTTGTTATTTTTTCTTGTTCCGCCGCGTGTTTGCTCCGTGTGTCACCCGCTACCAGTCCACAACGCATGCCAGAGGGAGGCTTTCGGCCGATGACATCCACAAACTACAGGCAATGGCGTGTGATCATACACATACGCTCTGCTCGCGTCCCAGAAACAGAGCGTATTGTCCAGTTTTGGTTGCACACGGCCTGTAAACTTGAACCGATGTGTGTTGCCATGTTGACTTTTTTTGACGTTGTCTTTTTTTTTCTGGTTGCTCCGAGCGTGATCAGTCCACAACGCATGCCAGAGAGAGGCCTTTGGCCGACGACATCCACAAACTGCAGTACCTGACGTGCGATTATACACATGCCCTCTGGAGGCGACCCAAAAACAAGGCACTCGGTGTCTTGTTGGTCGCACACGAACCAAAACCGTGAACTGAAGCATGTTGTGACCCACATAGACTTGAATCGGCCCTTTTTTCCCCTGATAAAAAAATCTGTCTCGAGGAACCGTAAGAAGGTCGTTTGGATCCAGATAATTTTTCCCTGGCAGACCACCGCCCCCTCGACCGAGAGCAAAAAAAATCTCCAAAATAATCACGACGTAAGACTCGGCCTTAGAGCTGTCTCCGCTCTTCTTTTTTTTCGGAGCCGAGACTTTGGTCAGCACCTCTGCTGCCTCTGCCGTTTGTTGATCAGCAGCTGTTGCCGACGGGTCTGTAGCATTTTCCGCTACTTGAGCCCGCAGTTGTTTCTTGGCTTTTTTGTTCTGGTTCGCAGTGAGAGCTGGGGTGAACCCGTCCGCACTAGCGGCCGCAGGGGCGGGAGAGTTAGTCTCCTTCTCCTCTTCGGGTTGTGTTTTTTCACGCCAGACATCGTTTTCTGTACCGGTGTGTACCCGCGAACAGACTTTCGTCGAACGCCAATGATAATACCCTGCTCCGTTATGAGCAAAGGTCCCTGAAGTGGTGAATAACCGTTCACCAACGGAGGTAATTTCGCTCTTATTGCAATGTGGCAAGGAATGGCCAAGCGTGCCTGACGTTAGTCAGCCTTGCTAGGGTGAAAGGTGAGAGTGAGCTTCAGGTCTCGCTTCCACCCTCCGGCTCGGCACAGCAGACGGAGGGTCTTTTCGTTGTAAAGATCTTCAGACCTCGAGAA